ACGCAAAACGATGTACACCAAGCACGGGTGAAATGTTGGTCTGCCAATGTCTCCAAGCAACCTGCTTTTATGGAGCCCAGACACACCTCATTAGCATGTGTGTAACGCGACTTTGCGTGACTGCACGAGACCGTGAATATTAAAAGTCACGGACGCCATTTTGAATCTTTTCTTTCCTTTCTCAACCCACAGGCCAGGAAGATGCGAGAACGTTTGCGAGGTAGGCCGTTTCTATTTTCCCCACAAGAAGTTTATTACATTGGTGTTATTTTTTAAAACCATTTCAGCCGAAGCAAGGAAATAAAGCCACTAAGGCACAATGGAGTTACTGTAAAAGAATGTTAGAAAAAGAAAACATTATTAAGGCGCGAGACTAATAAAAAAACAGGAATTAAGGAGACAGAAGATAACGATTGACATTGAATTTAAATTTTGGAAGGTCAAAGTTGATTGGAAAGAAAACATCCGGGAGAGATTTTCACAATCGAGAAGTGCGAGAGAAGAAACTGTTAGCATAGAACTTACGGTTACATCTCGCCATTTCAATTGTAAAATAGGAAGCCATGACTTCAATTTAGTACTGCGCTTAAATTCATAAGGTTTAGGTACCAGAGCGGAAAGTTCATCAGAATAATTACCATGAAAGTATTTATAGAAAAAGCACAGGAAAGTTACGTTACTGTGGTGGGGAAGTGACTGAAGACGAGATGTCAGAACAGGATCAATAACATTGCAGATTCTTCTTTGGATTTTATCAAGAATCTCTCAATACATAGCAGAAGCACCAGACCAGATTTGACAGCAATGTGTTGATGAAACCGAAATTATTAAAATAGTGCTAATAACAACAATGGCATAAAAAAATGACAGTTTCCAAAGCACTGACTATTAATATTTCATTAACAATTGTGTATAGACGAATCATTATGAAAGAATAAGAAACAGTAATTAGAGAAAGACAAATGTTAGCAAAATAGTGGCACAGTAATCTTGGTTACTTTGGGCAACTTTTAGTTTCTAATTTGATTATTTTTGACTTATTCATTCCCCTTAAAACAGAAGCCGTACGGTGCAAGAAATGTCGTTATTTCTATAGAGTCAAACCATTGAAGAAGACAATAGAGGCACTTTTTTGTTCACCGAATACAAGACCCAAGAGAGCGACACAAGCTAGACGGTTATCAAATTAGATTGTAGTATGAGCGTAGGAAGAGGAGAAGGAGGAGGAGGAGGAGGAGATAGAAAGTGCAGTTTATGAGGTTATGCAGAAAGCCTAGATTTGAAATGGATAAGATTGTAGTAACTGGGAAAATATCCTCTCGGGAGTCTGTTCCAAAAAGGAGTTGTTCTTGGGAAGAAGCTGTCCTAGTGAAACTTCCTCCTTACTAATGGAATACAAAGGAAATGGGGATTGTTCACTACAGTGGCATGGCGGGTCCTAGCCGTGAAAAGGCAGAGTTAGTGGAACTAAGGAATGTAGCACGTGAGAAGATTCGTAATGAGTACAACGATAAAATAGTGAGAGGCTTGCGACGTTTCGTCTGTGAGGAAAGGGATTGTAGAGCGGAAAATTGTTAATAATTTTAAGTTGTCTATATTTTTCAAAATGATTTAGCAAAATTTTTCACCGCTGAATGACACCCATTTCTCTCTATCAGGTCATGTTTTTGTGCTAAGTTGAGTTTCTTAAAATCCGATCTTTTGACTAAATCGATTAGATTTTTGTGACGTTATCGATTGAATTTTTTTAATATTTCTCATACGAAATAAGTTTTTAAGAGAAAAAATGTTTATTATTTATTAATTAAATGTTACAAACATCGAATACAATAAATTGAATAGTATACATTGATAAATGTAAGTACATGGAAATTGCATGTTACGTCATTATTGTTCAGAATACAGTGCTTGAAATTCCATTTATTCGAACCCTTAGAATGATCAGCGGCAGGGGTGTCTCTCTTCAAAGTCCAGCAGTAATTAACCATCATGATTGCATCCCAGCGTCCCTGGTTTCCATCTCTTTCATGTCCTGATGGAATCCCCCCCTGTTCGTCCCTCATTGATCCAAGACTCTCAGGAATCCAATTCATATGTGAGAATAAATAATGCATTTTGATGCTCAGGCTGCATCTGAGGTTTTTGACAACAGTCAGCATATTGATGATAAGTTCTGTGTAGTTCCTGGCCTTGTTGCCAAGAAAGTTTTTCACAATCAGAACAAAAGCTTTTCATGTTTCCAGTTCCACTTCGTACATTGAGTTTTCAAACTTTGGATTTCTGATGCACTGACGGATTTGAGAATCATAAAAAATACCAGATTTCAACTTCTCCATCGTCAATCCTGGAAGATCTTGACCCAAGTAAGTAAAGCAGACATCATCTTTGTCCAGAGCTTTAATTTTCTCCAGCAAGTACTTCGCTGGTTCATATTTCTCCTTCATAGTAATCGAGTGAACGAGTGGGTACAGATGCAAAATGGTTTTAATTGTGCAGCAGAACACTTTTCAGCGTTCGCTTGCTGATGTCAATGAACAGATTCCAATCTTTGGATGCGTACTGCGACACTCCAATTTTGTGCAGAAGCTGCGCAATATCTGTACAGTAAACCAAGTCCTTCTCTTCAGAGAAAAAACGGAGGTAATCTCGACGATTCTTCGGTTGCGGTAGAAGGTGATGCAAGCATTGTCAGGCAGGTTTTTTCCTTCAATCTGGATGTCAACAGTTCGTCAGAGGACTTTGACAAGGTGAGATCGCCAACTAGATCATTTAGTTCCTTTTTGGAAAAAGGATGAGGAGCATCATCGCCAAAAACTACTACTACTACTACTACTACTACTTCTTCGTTTTATTGAACACTGGAGAAATCTTTCTCACTAATGTCAGGAAGTTCACCAAAGACAGTGTTGAGGGGTTCTCCCCTTTTTACACAAATGGACTCACCCAGTATATAAATATACTACTGCTACGTGAAGACCCCAGAGACAAGACGAGAGCACACAGATGGTGAAGGTAACAAATAGACAGAACGAACGTAGCGATCAAGAGTCACAGTGAGCGAGCACGTAGACTCAGTAAGAAGTTATACTTCAATACCAAAGACTGTATAAATATTTTGCTACTAACCCGTATTCCTGGAACTACTAACCTGCATTACCAGTTTGTATTATCACATTAATACATTATTTCCCTATATATACATTCTTGGCGTTTGTTATTGGACCGGATTTCATCCCGGAATCCACAACAGACAGGTACTGGAATTTTAACACAATGGGATAACGTGGTGATTGAAGATTAGGATACTTGAGGTTGCTCCTGTTGTTTCTGTTGATCCCAGTCTCACCAATAGCACAGAGGTAGAAGTCAGTGCTATAGTTTGTTAACTCCCTGCACACCATGGGAATTCCAAACATTAGGCAACTCTTCTGGCTCGTGATCCCGCGACGCAGATCCTCGCTACATATCTTATATATCATATGTGGCATCCAAGCTTTATCCTAGTCATCAAGTTTAATACTAAGGAATGTAAGGATATTGTATGAAACTTGTGACTGGATTCCTGTTAGAAAGAATGGTTTATTTGCCGCAGATGTAGCAGAATACGTCCGGTTTATTTTGACAAGATCTTATGGTCGGAGGGAAGCCATTCCATTCACCTGTAAAATAAAAATACCAATTAGAAAATCGGCGCATTCTTCAGAGTTCGTTTATTTCAAGAACTAAAAATAAAATGCATCATATAAAGCGAAAATACCTGTATATGTTGTAGGAATCCTTCGACACGTATTTTAGTTAAACATTAAAAATCGGAGTGTCGGGATACAATAATATTAAATGTTGCGGGACTGTTCGTAATTTGACCTTTTAAAACAATACCACGACATTCATTAAAAGAATAATTTCATGCATAAAAACACAACGTAATATCAAGAAATAATTATATTTTATATAACAAGAATTCAAGCTGGAATATGTAGTTGGTGGAAATGTATTAAATGAGTAATGTCTTTTTTCTGGTTGTTAAAAGAGTTCTTGTGTATAGTACAAACTATTGTGTCCATATGTGAGAAAGGTGAACTGTCGTTACTAATGTGTTTGTATGAGATACTATGTGTATGCGTACGTATTACGTGGTATAAAGGAGATAGAATTAAGCCTTTACTGTAAACGATGGCGCCTGTGTCTGAAGGTGGCCCCTTTGGGGATTAGTGCTGTTGGGTCATTTCTTGATAATGTGCGTGGAAGCGAATGAGGTCTTGAATATCAGAAGTGCAATCTGAGAGACTTTATCATTGACGTCAAACATCATGATTTTTATAACGTTATTCCAGAGAAATTGGTTTTTGAGTTATATAATTTTACTTATTAATAATTGGCCCTAAAAGGTCACGTGGTATGCTTATTACTACGTTCGCGCGATATTTTGTCGGTATACGTAAATTATAATGACTAATAAAACAACCTTTCTGATTTGTATTTTATGGTTTTGTATTGTACAGTTCAGTTGGTGTGTTTTGATATGTAAGCACTTTATTGCGTGTTATTGGTTTATAAATATTTTGGAGGCGTGTTTTAACATTTATGAGGCTATTTTGGGCTGAAAATACTTCTGATGGGTTAAAAATAATAAGTTTATAATTAACATAATAATTAGTTTTATTGTGTGAAATATGTTGCATATTTAGATATTTTAATGAAAATGACAATGTAAACAAAAACGTAAAAAAAAGCATGTGGCCATATTTAAAAAAGTTGATCTGATTGAGCAAAACCAATGTGACTTTTGGATTCAGCACATCAAAATTGTCCTAAACAGGCTAAAAACATTTAGACTATAAATTTTCTGTTGACCAGTGACAAAAAGACCTCGCCGAAGCTTTCGAACTTTATCAAGGTTAGCAAGTGAAGACTGGGCGGTTCGAATCCAGATATTTAATTTTTGGTCTGATCTGACTCTGGTAAAGATACAGCATATCAGGTCGAGTCAGACACTCGAGATCTATCTATCTATCTATCTATCTATCTATCTATCTATCCCAGTCTTCTATGTATGTATGTATGTATGCATGTATGTATCTATCTATCTATCTATCTATCTATCTATCTATCTATCTATCTATCTAAGACACTTAATCACCCTCTCTATCTCTCTATTTATCTGTCGTTGTATGTGTGTGTGAGATATTCATCATATACATATATTTACATACATATGCACACCAATATGCACAGACAAGTAATTAAATATTTTATTTTAAAAGATCTTTCATTCGTTATCGTTCTATCAGGTTTTTATGAAAAAGCAATCAAAGAAAACACGACCAAATAATTATACTTTACAATGTGCGCATAAGCATGTATGTGAGTATGCGTGTGACCATTATATTTTGATATGCATAATTTGATCAACTTACACATCCGTTTACAATGGCACAACTTCATTAGAAAGCGTTTAGAATGAATAATCATTTTGAAAATTTCTGTACACGCTAAGTCAAAAACAAAAAATCTCTTGTTCGCATACAAGAAAAGAAATTAAAAAATCTTAATAGAATTCTACACTAATAACATGTTACATTAAAATAGACTGAGAAGGTACTTCTCAGTCTATTTTAATGAAACATGTATTAGTTTAGAATTCTTTATAAAATGCACAACTAATATTTATTAAAATGAATCACACAAAACAATTTAGTAAAGTTAATGATATAAAATGGCGAAATCCCTTCGTTAACTAAATTTTAAAGATGCATTAACGTACTAATCACTCGAGAAATGTTATGATGCTTCTTTTTAAAATTATAAACTGTATTAGGTCATCCTTAAATACGTAAGTACTTTCGACTGTACATCCAGTCATCATCAGCCATCGAAATTATTTTGTTTTTGGTAAAATTCAGGTAGCATCCGAGACGAAAAAAAAAAAAAAATACGAAATATATATTTTTTTAAAATGTGTTATTGATAACGGATACAAACTTGTGGAGCGTGCAGTCGCAACGCTAAGGTTGAACTTTTTGAAAATTTGAGTGCGTTTTTTAATAATAGGGCAATTTGAGAATTTTTTGTTGCAGGAATTCAATAAGTAAAGTGCCAGTTGTTATCCTGAAAACGAATATATATATATATATATATATATATATATATATATATATATATATATATATATATGCGTATGTGTGTGTGTGTGTGTGTGCATGTTTCTGTGCGTGTGTGTGTGGAGTGCGCACGTGGTAGACTTAAATAATTTTTTCACCCCAAGCAAGGCGGGAAGCCACTAGGACGCGAGGGGTTACAGAAGCAAGATCAGATAGGAGTGATAGAAGAAAGGATGAGGGTAGTGTATAGATCAAGGCAACTGGAGATGTCGATTGACATTACATTTGAATAGCTGGAGATTATAGCTCTCAGGGAAACTGGAATAAGGAAGGGTGTTCCACAGGCGAGAGGTGCGAGACATGAAGCTATTGGAGTAGAAGAGACGGCTACGTTTAGGAGTTTCGACAGTGAAGGGGTGAGAGCGGGATTCTAGCCTCGTCGGGCGCTTGAACTCATGAAGTCTGGTAACCAGCGAATGCAGCTCCTCGGAGCAATTGCCATGAAAGTATTTGTAAAACAGACAGAGAGAGGCGACGGTGAGTCTGTGAGAAAGTGACTGTAGACGAGATGCCAGATCAGGGCCAATTATATTGCATATCTGCCTCTGGAGCCTATCAAGAACCCCGAAGCAAACAGAAGGGGCTCCAGACCATATATGACAGCAATACTCCATGCAAGGGCGAATTGTTGATTCGTAGATCTGGAGGATCGATTCCGGAGAAAAAAATTTCCTGGCGCGGCACAGGGAGCCAACTTTCCTTGCGGTGGACGAAGCAATTGACTCAATGTATTTGTTCCATCTCAGGTCAGCAGTCATCGTGAGACCGAGCAGCCGCAGAGAGTTGCTCTCGAGAAGTTGAGCGTCAGACATTCTAATGGAGGGCATATAGGATCACTGTGGTGATTAATAGAGGGCAGTTTTTTTTAAGCATTAAAGTTGACCAGCCAATTTCTGCCCAGTTCACAACCGATTGGAGGTCCTTTTCGAGACGCACGGCCAGGTGAGTTTTGTCAGTGACACTAGATTTGTTTTTGAGGCAGGAATAAATTGTGGTGTCATCCGCGTAGATGCCAACTTGGGAATTTATAGCGTCAGGAAGGTTATTTATGTAAATAAGGAACAGAGTGGGGCCTAGGATGGAGCCTTGAGGAACACCTGCGTTCGTGGGATAGGAACTGAAGGAGAATCCGTTGAGAACGACCTTCAATTCACGGTTTGACAGGAATGATTGTATTAGGTCGAACACTCGACCCGTAATGTCATAACCCTGGAGCTTGCGAAGACCGGCATACCAAACCCTATCAAACGCTTTAGGGATGTCTAGGGCCACGGCACGAGCTTCCCCGTTATTTTGAAGTGCTCGGTAGACAGTTTCAGTGATGGCCGTGATTGCTTGTTCAGGGTCTTCATTTATCTTTTAATTTTCTGTAAAATAACAAGCTCTTCAAAGGTTTCCTTAAGCGTTTCTTTTAGAAAAAAAATTAGACCTTTCCTACCCAAAATGCCCATATATATCTATCTATCTATCTATCTATCTATCTATCTGAGTCTGCCATATCTTGCTATATCCATCCATCCGTATATACGTGTGAGGGCACCTTGAGTTGGTGTAATGGTTAGAAAGCTTGTCTCGCGAGAAAAATTGCAACTAAGTAGTGAGTTCGATTCACACTGGGTGCCCCATACTTTCGGGCTTGTGCCACATCCGAGCTACGCGTGGTATAATGGTTAGCAAGCTTGTCTTACTAGGACAATTACGACTGAGTAGTGAGCTTGATCATCACGGGGTGTCCCATGCTTACGGCTTTGTGCCACATCTAAGCTACGCTTGGAAATCTCTATATATGTACGTGTGTGTGTCTCTGTGTGTGCGTGCGTGTCATTCTGTTCGTATGGGTGTATGTCTGTTCGTGTCAGTCTGTATGTGTGTATATATATGTGTGTGTGGGGGTGTATGTGTTTTTGTGTATGCGTGTGTGTGAATATGTACGCATCTATCTAAGTTTTTCTGTCTATCGATCATATTGGTTACGTCTTGCCATTTCCGTCTCTCTCTCTCTCTCTCTCCCTCTCTCTCTCTATATATATATATATTTATATCTATCTATCTATCTATCTATCTATCTATCTATCTATCTATATATATATATATATATAAATGCATGTGTGTAAGTATCATTCTGTTTATATATATGCGGGTGTGTGTCTGTTCGCGTCAGCGTGTTCGTATGTGTGTGTGTGTGAATGTGTTTGTGAGTTCGTTCTTATTTATCTATGTATCTGTCTATATCAAAATATCAATATCACATATACGATTCCGTCTGAATATATATATGACTATTGGATGTATGCAGGAACATACGCTTCTCCTTATATATAAATATATGTCTATGAATATATCATATATATATATATATATATATATATATATATATATATATATATATATATATGTGTATGTGCAGTTTGCATACACATCTAATTTCTCTCTATTCTATCGATCAATACACAGATAAATAAAGGATGTCTGCTTGCATGTAGACACTGTTCGTCTTCCTCAACGGGTTGACGCCATAGAAATATCGACATTTCTTGCGCCGTATGGCTTCTATTTTACCGGAATGAACAAGTCCAAATATAATAAAATTACAAACTAAAAGTTGCCCAAAGTAACCAAGGTTACTGTGCCATTATTTTACCAACACTTGTCTTTCAGTAATTACTTCTCATAAAATAAGACTCCATTATTGTTTCTTATTCTTTTCATATCGATTTGTCTATACACAATTGTTAACATCTGCATGAAATGGTAACAATCAGAACTTTGGAAGCATTAACATTCTTCGTAACATTTCCATGATTATTAGCGATGTTATTGTTCCGATTGGTGCTTATAGAACTTCTACCATTATTGAAATAGAATACAGAGAAAACTAAAGACTTTTGTTAATGTGTTTCTGAGTATAAACATACATATCCACACTCATAAATAAAAAGCAATCATCATCATCATTATCATCATTCCTATGACCATCTGTGGTTATTAGCGTTGCTGCGCATCTGATCATCTCCCACCATCTGACCATCGATTACGTTCCAATGTCTTAGTATCTGCGAAGGGATTTCCAATTCTCCCAGTGACGTTGTCTACCTTTGATTCTTTTGACTTAAAACGTTAACGTAGGATGTAAGTGGAATGATGGTTAGCTCTTGACGTGAACATAACCATTTCAGCTTCTTCTTGACGGTGCTTATGAGGTTTTTTTTTTCCAACGGGCCTGTTTCTTGTCTGATGGTATCTCGCACTGTCCCATTTGTGATGCTGTCGAGTCGACCGGAAGTTTCCATCTCAACCAGTCAGGTGTCGAATGATCAAAATCAGTTATTTACGTATAGGCTCCGAGTAGCAATTCCGGTAGCGTTGAAAACGTAATAAAATATAATATAAATTATTAATCGGCCACTGACAGCGTTTCACTCGCATTTTCAAGAGACGTTTTTTTGTGAGCCAGCACTTGCTTAAGGGAAGCTATAAATACAGACCATAAGGGCCAGTTGGCGAATGTATTTCGCATTGTCAACTGATTTACTGAGCCACTGAAACATTTCACGCTTCTCTGATGTAGATTCTACAATGAATCCAAAGTATGAACCTCCCTCCTTTCATGGGGATTTTATTAAACACACTTCAATCTATTCTTTGTCTTTGTACTATTCCATCTTCATGGATTTAATTAAACATACGACAGCATGTGTCTTTGTAACTATTCATTTTCATAGATTCATTTAAAAATACCTCAACGTGTGTCTTTGCATCTTTCCATCTACATGGACTTTATTAAACATACCTAAATCTCTATATGTGAACTTACCCTTATTTTCAAGGGTCTTATTATATTCATCACACGATCTATAAATCATCCAAATAAATTGTTATTTGTTGATAAAAAATCTTTATCTTCTTGTTCATTTTAAAATCACTTGTTTAAATGCCTTAATTATTGTCTGTTTATTTGTACGTTGGGTCAAGCCCCCGGTATAATTAGTAATCGCCGCCACTCTCTTATACGAGTTAACTACAATAACCACTTTCTGTGCCCCATAAAGCAGCTTGTCCCCTAAATTCAAGAAAGATTGGGAAGATGAATGCCCGCGAAGGTCTGATCCTAAAAAGCAATAGGTATTTAAAAAGATAGACGCTTCTGTCTAAGCCTTTTTTTTCCTGGTTAATGTAAATTACCTTTATGGCAAAGGATTTTTTTCCATGTCGACAATAAAGTTAAATTCCCAGATCTTTTTAAATTTGGATTTTTTAATGTAACTATAACAACAAAAACATTTCGATTTCATTTTTGCCTTGAAAAAGTCGGAAGACGAAACGCGTCGGCAAAATCTAAGATTTTTTCCAATTGTCGTTTTATACCATCTGTCTTGTTCACAGAATTGATCTGGGAATTTAACTATATTGTCAACATGGAAAAAAAATCCCTTACTATAAAGGTAATTTACATTAACCAGAAAAAAGGCTTAGATAGAAGCGTCTATCTTTTTAAATTTGGATTTTTTAATGCAACTATAACAACAAAAACATTTCGATTTCATTTTTGTCTTGGAAAAGTCGTAAGACGAAAGGCGTCGGCAAAATCTATGATTTTTTTCCAATTGTCATTTTATACCATATATATATATTTTATAACATATATCTATATCTATATCTCTCTCTATATATATTTAAAAGTGAACATTGAAATCAACACTCAGAGGCGACAGGCTGTTTCATGCTGGACGCAATCGTCAGGCCGCCTGAAACAGCCTGTCGCCTCTGAGTGTTGACCTTCAATGTTCACTTTTTATATTTACATACGCTCTATCTCTTATATTGAGCACTTTATCCCATAAATACAGCACACCTTAAAACTATATTTTTCATATATATATATATATATATATATATATATATATATATATATATATATATATATATATATATAGTGCTGTTCGATAAAAGTGACTCACCTGATTTTTTTTACTTAAAATATTTTTTTGTCTATTGTTTTTGCGGTTGAAATAATTTTAAATCTTACTAATATAAAGACCCTTCCCGACCATCTAGGAAAATTTTTTATTCCCCCTAAGGTATTCTACTGATAATTATAAATTTGGATATAAATGAAATTCAGGAAAAACTCTGTGCAAAAAAAGTGTTTCAGATATCGCATTCTAATGATTAAACTGGTAAATTTAAATAGCTTTTGACAAAATATTGAAAACTATTTTACAATACACTCAGAACAATATTCTAGAGAATTCTAGAACAGCTTAAATTAAATCTAGAGTAATCCAGAATATTCCAGAAAGCCTCATACTGTATAAAAACAGCTTGAAATAGCCACTCGAGGCACTAACCAGATGAAAGGGTACAAACACGCATCAGAACCACTTAAGGCATCTATTATTGCCCTCTCAAAAGCAGGCAAGTCTACGAGAGAAATTGCAGAAATCGCTTTTACCTCACAATCAACTGTCTCTTGAATGCTCCATCTCCCTCCACCACCTCGTCTTTCCCTCCCTCTTATTCTGGTCTTCAACCTTTAATCGTCTATGGTGTGTGTATGCCACCACGAAATGTATCTTTATGCATTAGACATCCGACAACATTCATATTTCTCTTACTTCAACCCCTTCCACTCACCTCTCCTAAAATTCTCTCTGTTAAGGTTTAATCTCCCTCCTTCTCTAGACTCTCTCTAAATTCTGTTTTTATTTCCGGAGTTGTTTTTTCTGTTTTCTTTTTGAATTTGTAGGTCTGATGAATTGGATCGTATTTACGATTCCAATGGAATAAATAATGACCATGGAATATTAGTGTTTAAGCCTTTTTATTATATCCTTACTCTGTCCTGGATATTGAGTTCTACCTGGATTCTATCCTTTCGGAATTTTTTATTAAAAAAATATACATATATGTGTATGCACCTATGTATATATATCTATATATTTTGCATATATATGTGCATATTTACCACTAATATTATCTATCTATCTATCTATCTATCTATCTATCTATCTATCTATCTATCTATCTATCTACAAGACAGAGGTTGTTTAAGAAAATAAATAAGGAAAAAATATCCAAGGAAAATAACTCCAAGAAATAAAAAAATATATTTGATCCAAATTCAATCAATAATTTCGTGTTTTCGCTCGAAGAACCAGAATAGACGACCAGTCATTTTCCATAAAGAAGTTAACATCTTTTATATATTTGAATGCTCCACAGCCCATAGATTTTCCACCAATGAAATGGTTTGTCATTAAAGAAGAAGAATAAAGAAATTATTTGATCTTTTTATTGTAAAGTTATTCATGTGCAGTCATCCGGCTTATTTGACCAGTTCGCAAATACACAGACACACCCACGCACAGACACACACACAGATATATGTGTGCGTGTATTTATGTATTTGCGAATTGGTCAAATAAGTCGAATGACTGCACATGAATAACTCTACAATAAAGAGATCGATGTATATATATGTATGTATGT